CAATGTGTGGTGTGTGTGCAATGATGTGTGTGTGCAATGTGTGGTGCATGTGCAATGGTGTGTGTGCAATGTGTGGTGTGTGTGCAATGGTGTGTGTGTCCAACGTGTGGTGTGTGTGCAATGGTGTGTGTGTGTGCAGTACTTGATATTTTAAAAGGCACTTGAACAGATTAATTACTTTTATTTTTGGCTTTGAGCCATTTGACATCTTCTGATTTTGTTCCGACAACCAGATATATGAGCTTCCTTGCTCCACAGAAGGGGAAACAGCACCCACCCAGGTGAACCACAGGGAGTGTGCAGCACGACCCTGCAGGGCCTCACTCCATCCTTAGGCATACACTATGAGACAGCTGACTATGCTGGCTTTGGGGTGACTTCCTGGTACATCTGGGCTGTTTGCTCAGCGAGAGAAGAAAACTCTCAGAAAGAATTAGGAGAGTAAAGAGAGAGAAGGCACACTGCTCTCTAGATAGCCTGTGACTATGTGGAAGGACTTTGAGGAGGTGGCCTCCATTGTCTCTTTTCATTGCATGTCTCTCAGGCATGCACATGCGGCTACTAACTTGTAGAACCACAAGACAACGTTTTCTCCTTCACAAAGTGCACTGACACCTGGATTTAGGTCCAAACATTTTCACTTCATCTTTCCATGCCTTTGGACCACCCAAACGTTGGCCCATAATGTGGATTTCCAATCCCAGACTCCCAGGTGTATTATGGGTCTAAAACAGAGTTATTCACACATGGCCACACATGGGGATCATGTGGGGAGACTGCATCCATGCTGATGACTGGATCTCATCCCACAGATTCTGACAGAATGGCTCTGGGGGTGGGGGTGACCTCAGTAACAAGAGTTTCTAAATCGCCCGATGTTTCCAATATGAAGTTCAAAACAATCAAGCAAACAAACAGACATCGGGAGTGTGTTTGATGTGCCTGTGGCGAGTTCCCAATACCATCTCTTCACGTTTCCTTAGCAGCGATTGTGTGCTCAGAGCTCATTTTAAAAGGCTTTCTTAGTTTCTTAGGATAGCTCAGCAACTCTATTTCTACCACCCACCCTGACACATTCTTCTGTCAAAAACCTCTCTGCTTTCAAAACAAATGACTCAGTCCCAGCCAATCAGCCAGCTCCTTCTCTCGATTTAGTTCCTCTTCATTGATTGGGTAGAACCAAGCGGTTAAGACACACAATGCCCTCCTGAAGATGCCAATGAAAAAAATCGAGCGAATGGATGATCCATTGTTCAGTCTCCAGCCTGGGAGCAGGATCTCTTCCCTGCAAACCTCTCGAGATAATGTGCAATAGCTCGCTGCCTCAAGCCTCCGCTCCCACAGGCAGACCTTACACACTCTCTCCTACCTATGTCTGTAGGATGACACCCCTCTGCCACCGCCATTCTTCATATCAGGAGATGTGGCATCAGCTGGAGGCTGCTTCCCTGCCCTGTCTCCCCAGACATCCTCCTGCAGCCACGGTATCCACAGGAGCTTCCCACACTGGACGCATTCTCTTTCACCTTTGCCTTAAATACCTTTTTTCTTCCACTCCAAACCGGTACAGCTTTTACTCACCTTCAAAACTCCGATTTGGGTATTCTCCTCTGCGGCTCATCTATCCTGCCTTCCCTCTCCTATCCCCGGCCCCTCCCCAGTCATTGTGATGCTTGGGTCCAGATCACGATGCACTGGGTTCCTCTGAAGAAGGTTTTTTTTTTTAACTTTATCTTTTTATAACCAACTCCTAGCAAAGGGGCAAGAGGTCGCAGGTGAAAACCGAGAGCTGTTGGATTGAGCCCACATCTCTGCCTTCCTATCTATACCAAACAATTTTCAAAACACCTCAAGAAAATTAAGACAAGCTTTCCCCTTCATCACTGCATAGAAGCTTACGTGTATTCATCTGCCATGATAAAATCTTAACGAGAGAACATTCGTTTTCTTGCCTGTAGATGTAGATTATGAGCAAATACCATAAATCTGCAATGACACTGGAAATGTCTCATCTCTGGATACAGTATTTTCCAAGGAAAGGAGCCTGTTCCGCAGCTGGAAGAATGAAAGTGGCTGTGGGGGGCTGTCAAAATCTTTTGCTGCTTGGGTTCCTGGGTTAGGGTAGCCTGGGGGACAGGGGAAGGAAGATCACCCATTACCTTCTCGGGAGCAGACAGCTGTAAATGATTAACCTCCAAGGGCGTGATGAGAGGGACGGTCTGGAACCCGTCCTCCACGGAGGGCGGCTTGGCCCCCTTCTCTCCGGGGTTGCTGTTCAGCTTCACCATGCTTCTGCTTTTTTTCCAGACCTAAGGCAAGCAGCGGTGTTCTGGTTACAGCGGGAATGCAAGGGGCTGAGGGCGGTCTGAGACAGCGCAACTCTGGCAGTGTTCAACCTGGTGATAGCCATCCATCTCCCACTAGATTTCCTGACGCGATTCCCATTGTCCGGGAAACTTCATTAATCATCAGAACGTGCTAACTGCCCATGAGTTCACCAACCCTCAAATTGGGGAGCAGAAAAAGACAAAACAAAACAACCAAAAACCTCAAACCTTCATTTAAAAAAAAAAAAAGATGAGCTTAAAAAAATGCCAAGACACCATGGCTAACATATCCCTAGAGCCCCACTGGCAAGCTTGTTCTTAGCACAAAAGAAAACTCCATTATTCTGGGCCCCTGCAGTAAGATACATTTCACCCCACCACCCACATCGTTATTTTGCCTTTTCTTTACCAATCTCTAAAACACAATTAAATACATTCAATATCTCTTAAGACCTCTCTCTCTCTCTCTCTCTCTCTCTCTCTCTCTCTCTCTCTCTCTCTCTCTCTCTTTACATAATATGTAGATTGTACATGAGATCCAGTTTTTACATCAGAAAGAGGCTGGCTTGAACCCGATCTCCTGATCTCCTTATTCAGCCGTGAAATTCCTCCGTTTCCTCAATAGCCAGGGCTTTGCTTTTTTTTTTTTTCCATGGAAAGTTAGCAGCCCCCATATTGCAAGACTGCCAACTAAATAAACAAATCGCATTTATTTCCCTTCAGTTCCTTTGAAGTCAAGGATTGCTTTCACCGCACCCTCAAAACCCCTGCACAACTGAATTTCTCCTGTCAATCCCGCTGGTGGGACGTAATTAGACAAACGGAGTTGTTGTGGGGATGACAGGGTGGTAAGGGCTGGGAGGGTGCTGGGGAGTGGTTTATAACAAAAACAAATGCCTACTTACTGTGCGGCACTGGTGGGGGTCAGAGCAGAGTCAAGCCAATATGTAGAGGAGGAGGACAAACAGGAGTCCTCCCTCCTCAGCCAGAGAGCGTGGTGCTGAAAAAGCAGCCCTCGCGTGCCTGGATCCGGAGCTTCTGAGACCGAGGCGCCAGCGCGCAGAGACGATCTGGCAGCTGCCAGCCTGCTCGCCTGCTCGCGCCTCCCACCGGGGACGGTTCCCACACCACCTGTCATCTGGCACCACCTGCTGTTTCTCATGCATGGCCACAACCCCTGCATAGGACAAACGGTTTCAAAAAAAGTGGAAGGGATTTTGGTTATTCTAAAAACAGTAATGTGGCTTATAAAAAAATTACAATTATGTAAAATGCAATTCTTGAGTCTTTGGGGGAACTGGAAAAATCAGGCACTTTTCTTTTTTTTTTTCCCATGGGAAAAAGCTTCCCTAACAATACTATAAAACAGAATGGCTCACAACACCAGCTCTGGGGTTAAAAGAGAAAGTAAACTGGTAGTTATTTTCCATTTCCTGTGCAGTAACACCTTCCCGGTCACTTTCAAGCTACCATCCTTTTTTGTAAACTGTGGTTTCTAACAGTGACTGGGAACTGGGGTGGCGTGCAGTGGAGACACGCCTGCACAAAATGCAGACAATGAAAAGCACTCCACAGACTTGGCCTATCTGGCTCACGATTGCCCCAGGATTGTCCAGTTCAGCTAAGGTCACAGAACTGGAAAAGGCCGGAACTGGGATTTGAATCCTCTTGTCCCCAAAATCTGTATCTAGCACAAGACGTTAAATGGCACCCAGTCTGATGTCCAGAGTGAGAAGGAGTGAGAGAGGCAGTGTCAGCCCCACCAAACTGGCCGTGTGGATCTGGCACGTTTGGAGCCACTCTCTGAGCCTCTGCTGCCTTGCCTTTGATGGAGGATAACACTTCCATTGCAAAATGGCAGGGGATATGGGAAGAGAATATACCCATGGGAATACCTTTGACTTGTGAATGATGCTCTGAATGCCTATTTCAACCATAGGGATGGTTGGAGCCCATTGCCAGTGATTTCTCCCAGTTGTGGCTCAAATCACTGTTCACCAGCAGCTGCAGCACTGTCCGTGTGTTTCATGACCCATCTGTCCTGGTAGTGAGCACCCTTCCCACTTTGATTTCAAAAATATCTGTTCTGTGTGAGGAAGAAAAAAATCACCCTAGCTAGCATCCACATGTTAAAAGGCACAGAAACGTGTGTGTCCTCTGTACTGTGTAGGAATGAAATGTGTGTAAGGGTTTCTGAGATCTGAAGGCTGTCAACTATCAGCATCACACAGGGCAGGGTTAAAAGGTGTATCTGTGTAAGAGGGAAGTATTCTAAGAAATATTGGTTTTCCTCCCCCTCCTTTCCAAAGACTTAAATGACTACCAGGTTCAAGCATGGCATGAGACCAGCACAGTATAGTCAACAACCACGTGTTCAGCTGAGAACATCTATATCTGATCCTAACGCTAATACAACAAAAGACAAAGAAATCCCCTTTGATAGTTCATGGCCGATTGAGAAGGAAAAGCCACACTTTTCAAGCCAGAAGTCCCTAGAGTTTAGTAAGCTCCAGAAAGGGGCTTGTCTGGAGGCAAGGAGAAATCCAGGCTTGGTGACCTGTGAGGTTAAAAGACAAACTGGATGGAAGGCCTTGGCTGGAGTGACATCTGGGATTCTTACCTTGTTGGAGAACAAGGTTGAGGGGTTCCAAATAAAATAGAATCATTTGGTATTAAAAAAAAACCATTCAAGAGTTAAAACAAATACTATAACACCGTTTGATGAGGTTTTCATTGTATGCAACTTATAAGACATCTATAGAGCAGCCTGGGGAGCAAAGAAACTGAGGTAGTGTCCATCGTGGTCCTATAGACCGCTTTACATGGTAAAGCTTTGGGTCCAAGTAATCTGTGAACATTTAAGTACATCTATTGCAATCTTAGGATAGCCAAAAGATACAAAGAAGATACAAAGATGTGGTGTGTGTGTGTGTGTGTGTGTGTGTGTGTGTGTAATAAAGATGCAATAGACATCATCTGCCATGCAGTGGGTGAGAGAACCAGCCTCGTGGGCTTGAGAGCAGGAGAGCTCACCCTGGTGGTGTGGGTGCAGGAGAACTGGCAGGCTGACCAGCTCAGCTACCACACAGGCCCAGGTTCAAGGCTTTGAGTTTGCCCACCCCAACATCTAACCCATCTATAAACTGCTGGAGTGCATGAAAGGGCCCGTCTGGCAGATCCAAAGCTGCAGGATCTCCATGACACAGTAGGATATCCCAGATCTGATGATGGTGTAGCAGAAGCCAGAGGTTCTGAACCAGATCCATTCTCATTGCAATGAACATTTGCAAGTAAAGATATGTGGACAAAAGGGACACTATAGCTTCTGTGATGATGGTTTTCTTTTTTCTTTGTGAGGGAGGTTGCAAGGGCAGAGGGCAGATATGAAGGGATGGGGGGATGAATGGGACTGGGGTGCATGATGGGAAACTCTCACACATAAAATATCAGTACATTCCTACCTCTATCCTGAGCCTCAAAGTCTTCTATTGACTACTCAGAGGTAGAAAGAGACAGAAAACCACAGAGGCTGGCAACATGCTTGCTGAGAAGATCCACCAGGTTGTCTGTCGGACAGGACTGGTCTCTGCTGAGGAACCCTCTGCATTTCTGTAAGAGGCTGGAGTCCTCTCTGCAGCCTGCAATGGTGGTAAGCTGTGCTGTTACACACTCTAGAGGACAGCACAGTGACATCCTGGCATGTCCAGCTGTTTAAGATCTACAAAGCCCAGCGTGGTCTACAGAGCAAGCGCCGGGACAGCCAAGGCTACATAGAAAAACCCTGTCTCAAAAGAACAAAACAACAACAACACCCAACAAAAACAAAAGAACCTATAAAGGAAAACAGTCCGATAAAAGATCATTTGAAAATGTAAAAGAGAAATTAAAAAGGATTTTAGGAAGACAGACACACTGTGATGATACCAGGTAGTGTGTGACAGTTCATTTCCACCATCAACCTGGTTGGATTGAGCAGCATGCAAGGCATTTGTGCACACCTCTGGGTGTATCTATGGGGGAGGGATCCTTTAGAGAGAATTAGCTGAGTGAGGAGGACCCTCCTTGGACACAGGGAGCACTTTATCATGAGCTGGAGTCTCTGAATGAGTAAAAGTTGCAAAGGAGAAAGCCAGCTCTGTGGAACCAACCCCTCCTTCCTGTTCGTTCCTGCAGCTTTCTGCTATGTGACAGGCTGATCCCACAGACAGGCCTTCCTACCCCAGTGGGCTGCAACTCCAGATCCAAGAGCCAAGTTAAACCCTTCCTTTTTTAAGTCATTTTCTTGTCAAGCATTTAGATACAGCCATGAGGAAAAGAAGAAATCTGTGACAAAACAGAAGCCGAAAGTGGCTGCATTAGTGTCAGACACAGCAGACCCCAGGGAAAGAAAATGACCATCGAGAACAGGAGACTTTGAGATCAGCTAGTACTGACTCACAGAGAAGGCACAACTATCTTAAATCTGCATGACTGAAAAATAAAGCATCTATATATACGACCCCTCACCTTAAGAGAAAGGAGTTCCACCCCAGACTCTGAGACAACTGCAGTGGTCAGTTCAGATGGAATGAATGAATGAATGAGTGAATGAGTGAATGTGGCAAACAGAAAATCAGCAATGATTCAGTACAGGATTCACTTCAAAACCACTAGTGTATTGGGCTGGAGAAGGCAGAAAGCTGTCTTGTGTATCTGTTAACAATACCCCTGCATTTACCTATTAGATGCCAGTAGTATCTTTCTCTAAGTTATGTTGACCAAAAATATTGCGTCTGGGCATTAGCAAACAGGATGTGGGGGAGGTGGAAGGCAGAAAAACTGCCAATTACAGGAAAACTGAGAGACCACCTTCGAGCCCCTAGTCAGTTCAGTCTAGCACAGCAGTATCTGTCAGTCCAGGAATATTCTGATTTCCCAGTGGCTAAGAAGGAGACCCTCAGCTCCATCTTGATCAGTCAACCAGAGGCATCATGTAAAAAGTGAACCGCCCCAAGCAACCACACATGCATTTTTAACTCAGTCTGTCTGGCCAGTGAGACCACGATATCAAACCAGATAAAAACTGTCTAATATAAGACCATCAGTGGCCAATACATTCCAAAATGTAGGTGCCAAATCTTCAACAAAATATTAGAAAAATCAATTTAGTCACAGGAAAAACTAGCAATATATCATGAATAAGTAAGTGGGCTCTATAATGGACGTACAGTTGACTGAGAAAAGTAATTTGATAAAACTTAACACCCAGGAGCTGGAGAGAAGTCTCAGCAGCTAAGAGTACCCACTTCTGCAGTGGACCCTGGGTCAGGTTCTATCAGATGACCTTCAGTCCTTTAACAGCACCTGCAGGGACATGGTCGACATGAATTCTCACAGGTACACGCACATACACATACACAAAGAAAATTTAAAACTCCATCCACAATAAAAAGAACTCTCAGGAAAGTTGGTATAGACAGAAAGCAAGGAGACAGAATAATGTGCAAGAATTAATTGTATTTCAGTGTGCTCTCAATAAACAACCAGAAGCTATGTGTTTAAAAAAATATTAGCACTATCTTTCCAAAATGGTGAAATTCTTAAATTAGTCTGACAAAATCCACACAAGATCTAGATGGCAGGATTACAAAATGCTGGTGAAAGTGTTCAAATGGCCAGACACTGGAAGACACAGCGATTCTGTGAGCCAGACACTGGAAGACACAGCGATTCTGTGAGCAGACACTGGAAGACACAGCTATTCTGTGAGACAGACACTGGAAGACACAGCGATTCTGTGAGTAGACACTGGAAGACACAGCTATTCTGTGAGACAGACACTGGAAGACACAGCGATTCTGTGAGCCAGACAATGGAAGACACAGCTATTCTGTGAGCCAGACACTGGAAGACACAGTGATTCTGTGAGCAGACACTGGAAGACACAGCGATTCTGTGAGCCAGACACTGGAAGACACAGCGATTCTGTGAGCCAGACACTGGAAGACACAGCGATTCTGTGAGCAGACACTGGAAGACACAGCGATTCTGTGAGCAGACACTGGAAGACACAGCGATTCTGTGAGCAGACACTGGAGGACACAGCGATTCTGTGAGCCAGACACTGGCTGCAGCAGCAACAACGGTAATTATCTAGGACCTGATTGGTAGGTGAACTTTATTGTAATCTTCAGCAGG